CCGCAGCAAGGACAACCTTTTCTCGGTCATAGCGGTTCGCTTACGCTGCTGAGGTCTCTATACGATGAAAAGCAAAACCGCTGATTTATTTCCACAGCCCAGACGTAGAAGTACCTGTGGAATTATTGCAGTTGGTGAATACCAGCCCTCCAGCTGCTGAAGCCCAGCTACAGCAGTAGCTAGTGAGTTTTTCTGTAAGGTGTAAGAGGCATAAGGAAGAGGCAGGGCAGACTTTCAGAGTTCCCCAGGGACGCCTACAAATAATTCACCGATTTCCTTCAGACCTCCTGGTGTCCTTGTTTGTAACGGCCGAGTAGTACTCTGTTGTGTAATTGTCCTACATTTTCTTTATTCATTCTTCAGTTGAGGGGCAAATAGGTTGTTTCCAGGTTCTGGCTTTTACAAATAAATCTGCTATGAACATAGTTGAGCAAGTGTCCTTGTGGTGTGGTTGAGCAGCCTTTGGGTGTGTGCCCAAGAGTGGTGTAGCTGGGTCTTGAGGTAGGTCAGTTCTCAATTTACCGAGGAGCCGCCACACTGGCTTCCAAAGCGGCTGTGCAAGTCTGCACTCCCACCGGCAGTGGAGGAGCATGCCCCTTGCTCCACACCCTCTCCAGCGTGAGCCGTCACTTGTGGTTTTGAGCTTAGCCATTCTGACGGGTGTAAGATAGACTCTGAGTCATTTTGGTTTTCATTTCCTTGATGGCTAAGGATGTTGAGCATCTCCTGAAATGTTTCTCGGCCATTTTGAGTTTCTTCTGTTGAGAATTCTCTGTTTAGATCTGCACGCCATTTTTTTTTTTTTTTTTTTTAATTTGTATGTTGATACCTAGTTTCTTGAGTGAGTCTATATTTTGGAGGTCAGCCCTCTGTCAGATGTGGGGCCGGTGAATATCTTTTCCAGTTCTGTGAGCTGCTGTTTTGTCTTCTTGCCCGCGCCCTTTGCCTTACAGAAGCTTCTCAGCTTCTCGAAGTCCCATGTATTGATTGTGGATCTCAGTCCCTGCACTACTGTTAGGGTCAGGAAGCTCAATCCAGTGTGTTCCATATTATTTCCCACTGTGTCTTCACCAGATTCAGCACATCTGGATGTGTGTTGACCTCTTCCATCCACTTGGGTTTGAGTTTTGTGCAGGGTGGTAAATATATTTGAGTTCTTCTACGTGCCAACACCCAGTTATGCCAGAACCGTTTGCTAAAGATGTTTCCTTTTTTCACCCCGTTTTATAATTTTGGCTTCTTTGTAAAAAATCAGGTGTCCATAGGTGACATACAACTTTTTAAGCAAGAAGTATTTTTCTACTTTCTAGAAACTTTGATTGCTTTGCCTCTGACAGTACATGTCGAATCCATCACTTTCCCCTTTGTGGATATACAATTGGCCTCGCCATTTCTCCATTATTCCGTATATGTCACACGTCAAGCACCCTAGCAGGTGTGTGTTTTGTCTGGATCTGTATCGCCAGCTCAGTAAGCTGGTCCATCCTTGTCTCAACACCAAAGGATTTGTTATCTTAGAGGAAAATACATCTTCCCATCTTGTTTATTACAGACCCCCCCCCCTCACCTTTAAAAATAGCTATTTTATCAAAGGAATTCATCCCTTTTTTTTCTTTCCTGCTTTGCTGAAATTTGTTTTGCTTTCAAATCATGAAGTGAATTTTGGGAGGGGTTGTGGGCTGTCTCGATCTTGTGTAGGTAGCCATGGCTGCCCTGGGGTCAAGAGTGGGCTAGCCATGTCATGTGCTGAAGACAGCATTAGCAAAGCTTCTCTCCGCTTTTTTTTGTTGTTGTTGTTTTTTTTTTTTTTTTTTTTTTTTTTTTGTTTTTTTTTTTTGTTTTCTCCACATTCAGATGCTAAAGTAAGTGCACATTTCTGGAGTTGGCTTAACCTGGTCAGCGTGTATTCTATACACGGTGGACTTGGTAGGTGACTGTTTAGTTAGGGTTTTTTGCATCTGTGTTTATGAGTGGGATTACCTTGTATTTGTTTTTTGTTTTTTTGTTTTTCATTCCATGCTTCCAACTTTACCATCCGGGCCTAAGAGTTAGGTGGATGTGAGAAACCTGTTACTGTCTGTGAATCTGGGTTTATCTTTGTGTTGCTGGAGAGAGAACCTGGGGCCCTGCCCCTGAGCTATGCCCTTGGCCCTGTTTATCTCGTCTATTTTCTGGAAGAATTTGTGTCCAGCTGAAATTCCTTCTTTTCCTAATATTTGGCAGTATTTACTGGTGACATCTCTGTGATGTTCTTTTATAAGGAAGTTTTCAGATCATGCATTTTTGAAACTTTTGGGCAGAAGCACGTTTTGAGGTGTCTGTCTCTTTCTGCTCTCTGACTGTAGACCTTGCTGGCTGCTGTGCAGCAGCCGGAAGCAGCGGTTGAGTGAGGCCTGGGCTTAGCACTGGCGGTAGCCATTGTCCAGCAGTGGCTCACTGTGGTAGGACATTGTGCTTACCTCTCACTCTGCTGTTGGCTCTGCAGTTCAGGTAGGGTAGCAGGCTCCGTGCCCTGTGCACAGAGGGCTCAATGCATTGTAAGGGAGTAGCAATTGCACAGCCTGTCCATGTATGTGGTCATTTTATGGGGATGACATTGTATGTGTGTGTGTGTGTGTGTGGTGTGTGAGTGTGGTGTGTGTGAGTGGTGTGTGAGTGTGTGGTGTGTGTGTGTATGTGAGTGTGGTGTGTGTGTGTATGTGAGTGTGGTGTGTGTGTGTATGTGAGTGTGGTGTGTGTGAGTGTGTGTGTGTGATGTGAGTGTGGTGTGTGTATGTGTGACTGTGTGTGAGTGTGTGGTGTGTGTGTGTGTGTGTGAGTGTGGTGTGTGTGTGTGATGTGAGTGTGGTGTGTGTGTGTGTGTGTGTGTGCTGGGGACTGAACCCGGGACCTTTTTCCATGTTAGGCAAGTGCTTCACCACTGATCTACAACCGCAGCCTAGAGAATGACTTTTAAAATGCAGTTCAAATGTATGCTTTCACGTTGATTGCTCTTTCTTTACTGAACAAAATGGAACATCCAGGTCCCTTTGTGCCCTTGCTGTACCTGTCTGTCCTCTTCCGGTTCATCACCGGCTGTCCCTGTGTGGAGAACTTTATCTGCACCTTTAAGATCTTGCCATAGCACTGTTAGATCACAGGGCAGCTGTTTGATTGGACTAAGGCCTCTGATACACAGCCAGGGTTCCACTGGACACGCGAGTGTCACAAGCTTGGCTTTTATTATAAAATAACTTCTCTGTAGGCTCTCTGCCTGGTCGTCCTGACGGTGGATAAATGATTGGCCGAGCTGACTTTTAAATGCCCTTCAACCTGGAGATTCTATTACCCTGAGCAAATTAAAATTAAAGTACAGTCTTGAGTGCCTCCTTACCAGGGTCTGTTATCTCGGAGACACGCTGGCTTTGTCTTCAATCTGAGGGTTTTGTCGTTGAGCTGATAGCTCAGCATGCTGTTGAAAATGGCCGGAATGAATTGCACACACACCACAGACGCCTGTGCTAGAAGGGAGTCGGCTGTGTGTGTGTGAGTACATGTGTGTGTGTGTGTGTGTGTGTGTGCGCGTGTACATCCACGACAGAACGCCAGCGAAGCAGGACAAGGTGAGGGTGTTCACAGGAGAAGGAATGTCAGGGAAGAGCTGAGCCTGGCAGGAATGGACAGCCATCCTGTTTAGAACTGCCTGGCTAAGTTACTGGATGCAGCAGTTCTACCAACTGTGCATTTCCTTCAGCAAGTCCAGCCTGGTACAGCACGGGCCGGCTAGATTTGTTTGGCACGCTCGGAACAGCGTCACTAAGGTGCCAACTGTAATTATTTCTTACTGTCACAGTACAGTTAACCTTTTCCGTGGGAAAGTTCTCACCCAGGCTTGAATCACATCTCTGTGCAGGACTGTAGGGGCTGCCGTCTGCGGTCTACGGTGTTGGAGGCTGCCGCAGGAAGTCTTCCGACATCGTAGCTCTTGATTCCAGCTTTGTTTGTGTTTAGCTCACAAGGTCATGGTGATGCTACAACTCTCTTGCTGAGTGTACACAGGCTCCCCGATGCCCTTCGAGCTTTATCGTGGTCCTGGAACAATTTCTTCTGTATAGTATTTTTCAAATAAAATCAAATGCACATTTACCAAAAAGAAAAAAAAGTTTAATAAATATTCAACAAAATAATAAAAGCACTGGCTGTAATCTAAATGAGCTATAGAGTATTTCCAAGGCGTGGTTTCTTCTTGATCATCTGTGAGTATGAAAACCGAAAACCTGAACTTGAGCGAGTGAGTCTAATACCGCATCCTTCTGTGGAGTGCACCAAAAAGAGCCCGAAAAGATCACTGACATGTGAAAAGCGTTATATGTGTCTGTACACATTTTCTAAAATCCGCCTTTTAGGAGATGCTTAGTAAGCATGCCAAAGTCCTTGCTCCACGCATCCCTTTTATGTTCTGGTTTGTTTCTGAGCTGACTGAGAGTGATCATTTCAAAGTGGAGAAGTTCCAGGCAGGGGAGGGTTGGGGAGACAGATCAATAGCTCTGCGTGGAGACAGAGCTGAATGTGTGCCTGTGAAATTCATTTCATAGCACAGCAGAGTTAAATCCTGCCAAGTGAGACGTAAGTTACAGCCGTGCCCACTGTCCTCTGTGTGGTAATAGATGCTCAGACATCGAGCCTGGAGAGACGAAGCGCAGGGGTGTGGGGAATTAACTGGGGTAGGATGGGGCCTGAACTAAGGGAAATTAAGTTTCTATAAAGAATAACATATGGTTTTCTTTGCTTTTTATCTCTTCAATGTGCATTTTATTCTTGTCAACAAGGTGGCATTTGTCCTCTAAGACACACACTGCAATTTGTGATGTTTTACTTTTCTAGTTATTTGTCTAGGTGTTTGCCTACATGTGTCTGTATACTGTGTACCTAGTGCCTGTAATTTGTAATTTATTGAAAAATAATAATAATGCCTTTTCAGAGTTGTTGGGACTGTTACCTATATGGCTGTGTCATTTTTACTTGGTTTATTTTTGGCAGATAAAATAACACGAGAAGATATTGAAGGCGTTCTGCAGAAGTTTACAGGGAATATAATGCAAGTACCCCCACTGTAAGTTCAGTTATTGAAGTTCTGTTTAAATTTTATCATCTATAATTAGAAGGCTTTTCTTTAGCTCTGTTTTTTTATCTGGACATTGTAAATAATCAAAAATTGATGAGCAGGTTCATCCCGGATGCAAAGCTTTGATCCCGAAGTGCATTCCAGCCTGTGCTGGACCTTAGCTTAGCCTGGCTGCCGTGTGTCCCATTTCCCCGACTCATCAAGTTCTGTCTGTAGCTGCCAGGGCAGGTTGCCATGTGAAAGCACTGTGTTGAAGCAACAGACCTGTGAGTTAAGAACCCTAATGTGTGCTTCCTGTCTACCCCAGAATCTTGACAGCATATCCAACAGATAAGAGTTACAACTTTGTAATAAGTGTGAGTGTAAATTGCCTTATCGCTTGTCTTGGTGCATTAGGGCGTCTGTAACAAAATACCAGGAACTCAGGAGCTGTTTCCCATGGTCCTGGAGGCCATGTCCCCGCTCAGCTGCTAGTGGGCTGTTTTGCTGGTCAGAGTCTGCCTTCTCGTAGATGCTGCCCTTGTGTGGCTGAGGGCTCTGGTTTGTGACCTGATCACCCTCCTAAAGGCCTCTCCTTTAGGCCTTTGGGGGGGGGGGGATGCTCAGGCCACACAGTGCCACTTACCATCTTTGTATACACGTTACAAGGAGACATCAGGATGTGTTACCTATGGTTCTTTTAGAATTTAGATTTTATTTGTATTTAGAAATCTTGCTTTTGTTTTCCCTGAGAACATTGGACTATATCTGTGAAGATATATTTCTTCACACTTTTTTCTCAAACGCAAATCTTTGAAAACTGCTTGAACCGTTTGTTAGACTCGGTTAAACATATACGTTTATTGCATGTGAACTGTTTCAGCGTTTCTGTGGTTGTCCGTGGGCTTGTGATGTCATGAGATTGTTTACAGTGTGAGGTATTTCTCGGGGTTACTGTGCCTCTGTGTTGGGGGCCGTTGGAGGGAGCTGGCAAGGTCATCTCCAAACAGAAGATGACAACGGATGCTGCTCACTGCTTGTATCAGCCCCGGAGACGGAGTAGAACAGGGGGAAAGACTAGTTGAGTTTTAGACGGGTCTTTGGTGTGAAGAGCTGGGAATCGCTCTCTCCGCAGCCAGCAGCCATCACAGTCTCTCTCTCTCTCTCTCTCTCTCTCTCTCTCTCTCTCTCTCTCCCACTCTCTCTCATCATGAAGCTATTCTGCACTGAAGCAGGGTGGGCAGAGGCTTTCGGCGTTGATGAAGAGAGGGGAAGCGGTGGAGGCCAGACCCGCCAGGCCAGTGACCGTGTACAGCATCTCCCTCCTGAGCTGCCAGCTACCACTCTTCACCCTGGGTAAGATGGACAGGTGGGAAGTAATCTGCTTCTGCCCGCGTCTTTATTTTGTGTTTGGCCGATTTTATATAGGAAGTTTTTGAAGGTCAGAAGACTTACAGTTTGGCTCCACGAGGTAAATGTGACTAATTCCATAGAGCTTCAGAAAATCCTAACTAGCTGATGTTTGGATGCTTTTGATCACCTCACTATAGAGTTGGGAGTAGAATACTTTAGATCTCTTCAGAGAAGTACGTAGACGTGTGCTTTCAAGACTTGGGAATAGGGGGTCTGGCGCGATGGCTCAGCCCTGAGGAGCACCGGCTGCCCTTAACTTCCAGTACCCACGCGGTGGCTGTCTGTAACTCCAGTCTCAAGGGTTCCAACTCCCTTACAGGCCTTCTTGGGCACCAAATGCACATACGGTACTCAGACGTATGTGCAAATAAATTCTGCATACATGTAACGATCAACAATAAATATGAGCTAATTTTTTAGTTTCTATCTTACAGTTACTTCTCCTTCCATTTTCATTCATACGTAATCTGCTCCTGTGAAACAAAGAACGTTTAGTTAATTTGGGGTGTGGTCGTCAATGTGGCCTGACTTCTGTCCCATCACTTTTTCTGTGACGTGCAGATGGCATGACCATGCCGTGGGAATGGGGAGACAGAGGTGTAGCTGGACGCCTGGTCACAGTGTCAGGTCAGGCTTTCGGTTTGAATCTGTGATCCACATTTGAAGTAAATTTAAAGGAGAAAGGAAGGAAGGAAGGAAGAAGAAGAAAGAAAGTTGTTTATATAGCTTACAGATTATTTACATAGTTTAAAAATGTAGTTGTTAGTCCTCAGACCCCTCACAATCAACCCGGCCCTTCATTTCACGGTCATTACGAATAGCGTCCCTCAGGTGGCGATTCCCCAAACCTGTCTGTCACCCACTCCTTCTTGGTGTTTGTTCTTACTCCAGCAGAGCGTGGTACAGTTAAGAAAATGAGGCTTTTGCTTACACCTCCTGATTCCAAATGACTTGGCAAATAATGAAGGGGAAAAAAACAACCACAGAGTGATCCCGTTCACTCGGTGGAAGCGCAGCCCCTCTCTGGAAGAACAGATAGACGTGGCTGCGTGTTGGTCCCTAGGGCCTCGTCGTGTTGACTAGGGAGCGTGAGCAGCTGTCTTCTGAAGTCATGTGCTGCTCAGTGCAGGCACAGCCCAGCTTGGTCCCAGTGTTACCCTTTCTTGTCTGGGTAGCCCCCATTGTGAGCTGTACAAACGAAACAGGTCCCCGGGTGGTGAGTTTCAGCTGAGTAGCCCTTCCAAATCTCTTCATTTGATCGATGGGACCAGAAACAAACGTGGAGCGTGGCGTGTACCTGCCCCACCTGGAGTGGGTGAGTCACCTCAGGCTCTGCTTCCCATGTAGCCTGTGAGGCCATGTAGGTTTATAGCACTGTGTGGTTTAGGCACCCCAAGCACAGTTCTTTTCTTTGCCAAAAGGAGTTTTTGGTTAGTATTTGGTTAAACTTTTTTCATGTCATAAAAATCTGAAAATATTTAAGAAACCTACAGCTCATGACAGAGAAGCTGAGATCTCTGACCGTCTTGAACTTAACAAATGGACAAAGCATACAGATCTGGAAATATTTGTTAGCATCCATAGCTCATGACAGCAAGGCTGGGGTTCCTATTTAAGACCTATTAGATGAACAAGGCTGAGGTATTAACGTGGTGTGGCTTGGCAGTTAATTTAAAATGTGTTCATGACTTTCTGCCTGCTCCACACTCTGACTTTTCAATCTCACGAACACATATGCCGCTGGATGAATAATTTATGGTTTAGCCCATAAATATTTTATGGCTCGATTGTTTGCATAGTGCATTTCTACATGTGTCGGAGACCATCATTTTTATGTAAAGTGGATCTCTCAGGAGGTCAGCCTTTTACCATGCCCCTGCTAACTTTCCAGATGTTGAATGTGGAGGCGGCTTCTACATCAGAAGCTTGGTCAATGACATTGGCAGAGGTAAGCAGAAAAATGGATTGTGGATTATGATTTAGCGACTAATGCTCCTTTCTGTTTTCCGTTTTCCTGAGCACTGGCTGAGGAGTGGGACTGTGGCTGCTTTTATCTCAGATGCATTGTGGGTTTATAGCATGCACTTGCAAGCCGGGCAGCTGCGGTAAGGTGCTGGTAATGGGGTGCAGAGGGGAGCAGAAATTGAACACAGCGATAACGGATGGAAAAGCCAACGTTTCTTTTCGAAAACATTTTAACTCAAAGTGGGGGTGAGGGACAAAAGGATTTATCCTTCTATAAATTATTTACATTGATACAAATCATTTTTTTTTTAAACTAGAAGCACCCAGAAAGTTCCGGTTCTGCCCCTCCTGCTCTCTGGTCACGTGAAAGTGGACAGACCACATTACCGTAATTGCAGAACAAGGGCAATATTTACCCATGGGGTGGCTCCCAGTGACAAGTGGTTGTGACCAGCAGGTGTAAGTTTAGGCCACGAACTAAGTCTTCGCAGCTCAAGCACTGCTTTACCTCAGGCGGTGGACTCTTATGTTGGGCTGTTACCCTGAGGCGTCCGAGTAGAGTTGTGTCGCTTGTAAACTTGCAGATGGTGAGTGCTGGTGGTTCACCTTCCGTTTTCACTTTTGGGTGCCGTAGAACTCTCTTCCTGCGCCCACGTGCTGGAGCTGACGCGCACCAAACAGGGGCCATTTACACTTGAAGAGCACGCCCTCCCCGAAGGCAGATGGACCATCGATGACATCGCACGGTCCCTTGAACACTGCACGTCTCTTTTGCCAGATGAGTTGGCGTTCAAAAAACCAAAATCTGAGAAATGCAGTGACCAGGCTTTAAGCTATGAATATATAACTCTAAGCGAGACAAAGAGAGCGGAGGATGCGACCAAGACGCTCTGAGGCTGCCCCAGGGCCGCCTCCTGCGTCTCCTGGTTGGTTGCTGTGTGTCACGTGTCTCTTTGCAGGGTGTGCTAATGCCGCCGAACGATGAATGTGATTGGATTCAGACAAATCGGCTGTCTGAATTTGATCTTTCCTTAGTCTTTTTCGTATGAAAAAGTAAGCAGTTTTCTAATCACAGAAAACAGGTATTCCTGTTAGTCTCACCGAAGCGGGTTTACTGAGTGTCACGCTCGCTTTATTAAAACTGCCAGGGGCTCCCATTGCTCTGAAAGTCCTTGGGTACGCATGAAGTGTTCAGTATTGAGCTGCCCCGTGTGTTTGCAGAGCCCATGGCTGCTGTGAAACACAGTACTGACAGACTGTACTCACCTGTGCCTGTCGCTCAAATCTTGAAAATGACTACTGTTTCCTAATAAACATTTGCCACTGCCCAAACTTCTGTGCTACACCAGCAGAACGTAATGGGTCAACCCGTGCTGAATCTTACCTCCCGTTCAGAGCAAACCTCGGCTCCTGTAGCTGTGCGTTGTGGCCGCTATGTCTCTGGTCAACCACATCATATCAAATTACTAAAAATGCGGTTTTTAGGCTATACAGTAATGAGTGTATCTTGGATTAAAATTCTCTCCCACCTGCTCGTTAGCGTGTGTGTCTGTGTCTCTGTGGAGCAGGCGTCCCCGGGACTCGACGAATGGTTTCTGTAGCTGTTGGCTCCTTCGGGTGGTTCTGTGACATGGAGAGAGCAGCCCAGCATCCTCAGCCTCCTTCAGCTCTCAAATGCTGGTTTCCCGTAGCTTCAGGAAGTTCTCACCGCTTTCGATGTGATCTTGGGAATGTGATCACGTCTAAAAATAGCAGATTCGTGAGTGTGTAGTCTTTTTGTTGTGGGAATGCTTGTTCATTTACTTGTGTGCTTCGGGCTCTTGGAGACAAGGTCACCTGGCCTCAGAGCAGTGGAGCTGAGAAGTGGCTCCATGCTTGAGAGATCCCTTGGCCCTTCAGCACACCTCAGAGTTTAGATCCGGGCACCCAGGCCAGGGGGCTCCGGCTACTCAAACCCAAAGACACTCTGTCCTTAGGGTGCCCGTGAACACGCATGTCCCCATGCACACGCAGATAAAATAGTTACTTTAGAAGGTATGTGGATTAACCCAGGATGACTCACACACCCTGCAGCCAGGGCTCCTCCCGTCTCTGCTCCCAAATGCAGTGACTATAGACTGTCATGCATGGATGTAATATACCGTGCAGACGTGAAGTCACCGCTATGTCATGGAGGCGTATTTTATACTGTGTAGAGATTACAGGCATTCACCACTGTGCCATGTAGAGATGTACCGCACAGATATGCCCACGTGTAGACCTTTACAAGCATATACCGTTATGTCATGCATGGATGTAACATGCTGTGTAGACATGACAACATGAAGTTCTTCACTTCCTAAAGTATATTTTCAAAAAGAAGATTTATTAAAATTTTCATAAAATACAAGTTTTTATACTCTCCGGATTGCTATTCTTGCTAAAGGTTGTTGCCTCTAAAAGAGTTTTAAATGAACAGAGCAATGGTCTTACGTGGTCACTGTTGATAAAATCGAGTTTTGATCCCTGGGCACCCTGTGTGATATCAGGAGAGAAGGACCCCAGCAAGCTGTGCATATCCACTCTGTAGCGTGTGTACCCCCCCCACACACAAATGAATGGAAAGTAATTTATAAAGCTAATTCTTAGTATAAGACAGAAAAGATAGTATTGGTGTCATGGTAAACTTATAAATTAGAAGTCTTGTCATTTTGAGCCAGGTGTCACGGTACAACCCTTCATCAGGGCACTCGGGAGGCAGAGGCAGGTGGATCCGGGAGTTCCAGGCCAGCCTGGGCCACTGAGTGAGACCCTGTAAGTCTGCAGCTTTCCTATCTGCTGGCTAGTGCCCCGTGACTTGTGTAAGCTAAGTGGCGGCAGATCCCACTGCCCGTTAGAACGGCATAGGCTGTGTATTGTGTCTTCATGAAAGCCGAAGTCCGAACAGACCGCACGGCCGAGGGATGTTTGTCTCTTTCAGTTTCAACTTTGCGCACACCCTCTTCTCATAGGGAAGAGTAGACCTTGTGAAAAGGCAGGTAAGTTCTAGAAAGACTAGTAGCCAGTCTTTTTCTTTTGTTTGAAAATGCTGAGGAAAACTGCAAGTTAACAGATGTGTTCCACATCTTAATGCAGCCATTTTGGACTTTATTTTTATATCATATTTCCCTTTGTACTTATACAATCCAGGCACATACGCTGTGGTTGACTTCTCTTGTGATTTTTATCAGATTGTGTTCAGTCTTCACGGTTATCTTGGTCACATGACTCTCCACTCAGTTCATCTAAGCTGGGCACACGTAAGTGCTTTCCAGTTCTCTAGGACGTATGTGCGTAGGGCATGGCTTTTGTAACCTCTGCAGCAGAACAGTTTTGTGGTTCTCAGGCTTGTAGCATTTACAGCCTCGCCATTTGTTTGGGGTTTTATATGTTGTTGCTGAAGTTTGGCTGCTTTTGTATGATTTGTCTTTACACTCTGTTCGTTTGTATAAATAAACACCTTGATGCTTTCTTTGTGTGTTACATGAGTTATATGCAACAAGTGCTTAGCAGACGTATTTTTCTGGCTTGTCTTAATATTTCTTTTCCAGGTCCGGCGATTAAATGCCTGACAAAGGTGACCGATGGGGAAGTGCCTATTTTGGCTCCAGTTCAAGGCTACAGCCGGTCAGAGCAGGGGCGTGGAGCTGGGTAGAGCACACCCACGGTCAGGACTATCCAGCAACAACTCTCAGTACGCACTGGCTTTCTCGGTTTTTCACAGCCCCGACCCCTGCCTAGGGAGTGGCCCTGCTAAGCTGACCTTGGTCTGCTGCTTCCGTTACCTGTCAAGGTCATCCTCCTCCCAGGAATGCCCAGAGCCGTCTCCCAGGAGGCTCGACCTCGCTGGCAGCTCCAAGGACTTGCGTCTTGCTTTTGTACCTTGGGTTTTGTTGCCCATGCTGCTGGTTCACTGTCTGCAGCCTTCCCCTTTCCCATCATCAGATGTGCAAATTCGAGTCCTTAGAATGTATTAAAATTTAACTTTCCTGGGTAGCTGAAACCAAGACACAGCTCTGAAAAAGTTCAAGATTCGCCCTTTTTAAAACCCTAATCAAAACACTGAAGAAATACACGTGATACGTAACTTAGGCCTTAAGAAGCATGGCTTGATAAAGCGATTTTACTCACAGGCAAAATGCAAGTTACAGTTTTCTGAAGATACCCCGGCGTGGAGCATGCCACATCACCTTGTTTTGGTCCGTTAACCCTTATGCTTCTGAGAAACGTTGTGTTTACCTGGATGTTGTTTAAAATAGTCGCAGAATCGTTTTCTGACCTAAAATCCACAAACATCAATACAATAGGAGTTTGTTCTTCACACACTGAAAATTGCAGTGGGTGAATAGGGATAAACTCACACATTCCCTGTGCTCACTGGATCTTTCTTTCTTCCATACGTGAGTTAATTTAAGGCTGCTGAGTCATCAGGAATGACCCATCTAAGAACAACTGGTGCGGTTTATGCCCCTCTGACTAGTGTGAAATCTAGGTCAAATTTACCGTGGACATTCAATTAGATGGTGAGTTGTTCTGTTCCAAAGGAAGAAAGTAATTTACGATGTATCATGATGTGGATAACGGAAAAATGTGATTCGAAGGCACTCCAAAGCGCTGTGCTTTTATTAAACGGGTGAACATAAAAGTATGAAGTTTGGGCACTGGAGTTATTGCAATAGCCTTAAATTTTAGATAGAGAGACTGTCTTAAACTGTTCCAGCTTGCCCTGCTCGTCTGTTAAATGCAGATGTTGAGCCCGGAGTACTGGCACTAAGATGGGCAGTGCCTTCCTTTGCGTTAGCAGCATGTAGATTAAGTTCTCCAAATAGTAGTATGGTTTCAGATTGATGTTAAAAATGCTGCAGAATGCCATAAAGTTGTTAGGGATTGTCTTCTGTTTCGTTTCTCTTAGAAAACGATGTAGTAAGAGTGTTTTTGTGTCTGCCATTAATGAGCTCTCGGGTGGTAGGCATATCACGTCATCTCCGAGGGACTCGGCTTTGAAGGAGACAGTCTGGGTTGTGTGTAAGAGCCCTCCCACAGCCGAGTATCAGGCTTTGTGTTCCCAGGGACTCATTCCTTGGGAACTTGAGTTTTACTACATCGACTGACTCTGACAGATTTTCACCCTTCATTTCTTCGCATAGCATGTGTCTTGCAGTTCTTAGTCTTTCCGAATGCTCACATTCCATTCTGAGCATCTAACCCCTCTCATGGCTCCCGACCCGTTATCCCTCCATGCTAAATCTTTCTTCCAAGTGCTTCTTTCTGCTATTTATATTTAGTAATACTCCTTGATTTCAGTGATAATTGTATTCTGTTTTTTTATTTCTAAAACATCACAGTATATTTTATATATTATTTAAAATCTGCGTGTGTGTGTATGTGTGTGTGGTGTGTGTGTGTGTGGTGTGTGTGTGGTGTGTGTGTGTGTGTTTGTATGGTGTGTGGTGTATGTGTGTATGTGTGTGTGTGTGTGGTGTGTGTGTGTGTTTGTATGGTGTGTGGTGTATGTGTGTGTGTATGTGTGTGTGGTGTATGTGTGTGTGGTGTATGTGTGTGTGTATGTGTGTGTGGTGTATGTGTGTGTGTATGTGTGTGTGGTGTGTGTGGTGTATGTGTGTGTGGTGTGTGTATATGTGTGGTGTGTGTGTGTTTGTATGGTGTGTGGTGTATGTGTGTGTGTGGTATGTATGTGTATGTGTGTGTGGTGTGTGTGTTGTGTATGTGTGTGTGGTGTGTGTGTATGTGTGGTGTGTGTGTGTGTTTGTATGGTGTGTGGTGTATGTGTGTGTATGTGTGTGGTATATGTGTGTGTGTGGGGTGTGTGTGGGGTGTGTGTGTGTATGGTGTGTGTGTGTGGTTTGTGTGTGGTGTATGTGTGTAGTGTGTGGTGTGTGTGTGTGTGTGGTTTGTGTGTGGTGTATGTGTGTGGTGTGTGTGTGTGTGTGTGTGTGTGTGTGTGTATGGTGTGTGTATGTGTGATGTGCCCCTTCCCATGGCACACAGGACCTCATCATTATTTAGACATTGTCCTACCACTGAGCTGTAGCCTTCTTCAGGGTTTCTGTGAACATGTATTCCTAAACTTTGAATATGTATACAAAAAATTGTTCATAAGCATACAACTTCACATGTGTTCAGAGACAGAACACATATGTAACCAGTGTGTAAATCAAGAAGCAGAATGCCCCTAACTCTGCCTGCCCCTAGTCCCTGCAGCTTTTTTGGTCAGTAGTGCCCTGCCCCTACCCACCACCCACCCCTAACATTGTGCATTTTTGTTGTCTGTTTTGTGTCTTATATAAGTGCAAGCATACAGGTTGTGAATTTCCATAGCTGCTCAAGGGTGTGTGTTCTTTGTTTTGTTGCTGTGTTTGTGTGTGTTTGTGTGTGTGTTTTTTGTTTTGTTCCTGTCTTAGCCCAGGCTGTGACAGCAAATACCAGAGATGGAATGGCTCGGTCAGCAACTTTGGATCAGGGTACTAGCATGGTCTTGTTCCTGATCAAGCCTCTTCCGG